ATACTTGACGAATCGAACATTCAAACGCTCATAACTCCTTCCAGATAGTCGCTTGGCAAATACAAAACATAGATTTGTGATCAGCGTTTCAAGACGAGCCCCGTGATATACAGCATGTTTAGTATGGCTGGGTTAAGTTCTGACCATTCCCTGCTAACAAGGGAAGGATACTTGATGACCATGGCCTTTTGAAATGAAACATACACCCGTTAGATGTACCTTGAAGCGCTGATTCCAAATCTGCTTTCGGTATCTGCTGTGCGCTGTTCCGAAGGAAGTTATAAATGTTTTTGCCAACAAAATTTGCATTGTTTGATGCAGGATTCACCAAAATCGTTAGAATGTTCGCTTACGCACTACAAAAGAGCCTTCAAATGAAGTAAAGTTTTACGTTAAGCTCAGGAAAACTGTCTCCGATATATCAGAGTCTAAAAAGCCTGGATACTGACGATTCTTATTGCCTAAATCTCGTAAAATCGATATGGAAAAAAGCCCATAATTTCGTTCAGGGAGTTGCACTGCAGGTAATGGACATAGGTTTAGAATCAGCATTTCAAGGCGCATCTACTGGTGCACATCTCATTACTGAAGGCCACGGTCATCAAGTCTTTCCCTTGTAAGCGAACTCTGCAAAAAAAAGAAAAAAAATTCCATTTTCTTCGCCGCAGTCAGCTGTTCATCAATTCTCGCCTTCTTGGGCCCCGAGATTGTGCAGATTTATGAGATTTAAACCGCAACAATGCGTCAACTGAATTATCCCGTAAGTTATCCACGAGCAAGTTATCCCGTAAGTTACTCACGAGCAACTTGCGGAAGTTTTGTCTGATTCTCCTTTGCTGCACACTCTCTCCCTCCGTCCACCCTAATGCCTCGGCTATGTGGCATTCTGTTGAACTAACCGTGTTTTTTCTTATGGGCGGTCTTATACTAGGTTGTGTAATAAGTTTGTTCGCATTTTTTGTTCTAATTTTTTCTCATTATTTCATAAAGCATTTTGCATAGTGTTTGTATGTATTCGGAAATTTGTCTGCTCTACCAAACTGCTATCATCATATTCCTAGTCTTCAAGAAGTTAAATAAAAATTCCTGCAAACCGAAAAAGAATGAGCGGAAGTCCCATTTTCGACAAATACGTTATGCTGAATCTTGAATGGGTTTACACGCTCAAGAAACAGCTCGAAAATTTTGCGAAGTGTATAAATAGAATAATGTAGCTCTTGCAGATTAATTATAGTTGCTGAAACTTTTCAAAAATTCATATTGTAAGCTGAAAATTAGGTATGTTTTTGATGGTGAAGGGTTCTTGTTGTTTTGTTCTGTTGTTGTTTTGTTTTGTTTTTGTTTTGTTCTGTTTTTTTTCTTCTTGTTGTTTTCAAACCATGTCTTCAAAATAATGACCAACAGAATTGTCTTAGTACTTGTTATCAAAACATGGAATGGGCTCCTAATGGAAGCTATCATCGCGAGATCTACATTCGTTTTTAATAGAGAAGTTCAATTCTGGAATCACACAGGTTATTCTAACTACCATTTTCCAGGAAGTTTTTTGAGATTTCGGCGTTCCTTTTTTCCGCAAAGAATTCTAGCTGATGTATGGTTTGGTCTCCCAAAAAGCGAATCTTCTCCGCGCTATGCTCGATGTTTCGTTTTTTGTTTCCCCAAGTCAAGAAAAAAAACTATTTACTTCCAGTGATGCCTCTACCATTTTTTGTGTATCGCAACTCTCTAAAATTGTCTTTTTTCTTTGCTTCAGTGTTCTTCTAATGATCATTTCGTTCTTTTTTCGTGCTGAGCATCCCCTCCTCCGAGGGCTTTTATTTGTGCTGTTCTCTTCTTTTTATGTCTTATTGTCCTTTCGAAAACCTTTATTTTTTTCTCTGGGTTATGGCCAGCTAGCCTTTATAGGCGGGCTCGCTGGCCCTCAAACAGGGGTACCGTTTCGAAAGACGTCTAAGATTTCGGTCGACCGTTGAAATTATTGCTCTTCCTCGTCTAGAATTATTTGGATGTCGATTTCATAGTTGAATAAGTAAGGTATATGTATAAGTATGGTATAGGCGACTCCCAGGAGTATAGCGGGCGGAGCTTGCAGACATCTGACGAGGGAAGGACCCCAAATGGCCCCGGCCAATCCATATGCCAATCCAGATGATGGATATGTCATATTAGAGCGTTTGAACCGCTGATTCCAAATCTATAATTTCTAGCTGCGGAGCGGTTCTCTGTATAAAGAATTATGAGGGGTGTCTCTATCTGGGGTTTAGGTGCCCTTCAGCATGTCTACCCTTATCTGTGAGCACTATAAGTAGTGCCAATGGTGACAACTGTGGGTGCAAAATCAAACTTTTGAATGCCTTGTAGCCGTGAAGCCTATAATTTCTGATGTTATTGGTGCGAATCGAAGCTAGAAGTTCTGGAAAAAACCAAAATGATAGTAAGTATTAGAATCTTCATTCAAATCACTTACCACGTGCCACTCGCCACCATTTTGCGCTTCTGTATAGCTCGTAGACAAGGACCGACATGTTGAAGGGCGTCCCAGCACTGAAGGAAAACAACCCTCATAACTCCTTACATAGAAGCTCCGCAGCTAAAACTTATAGATTTTGAATCAGCGTTTTCAAAGCTTTGAGATTATACATGCCTCATCTGGATTGCCATTTGGATTGGTCGGGGCCATATGGGCTTTCCCTCGAGAGCATTCAACAAAACTTTTTGAATCACTATCACTTTGAATCACTGCATTTCGTATAGGCCTTGTAAAACCTAATTGTCTGCGCTGTGCCTTGAACATGTCGAGACGCAGACTAATTAGATGGTCTGACAGTCCTCACGCCAACTGGGCGGCAGGAACTCCAGATTAGCTGTGCCTACCGGATAACAGGCGGTTCCCCTTGACTTTTTTACACATATTTTTTATAAACAAAGATTCTAGACATAAAGTTTCGTTCACATAAAGCAGGACAGTCAGGGTGAAGGATAAATCAAGAGAGTGCACCTTTTAAACTTGACAAACACTAGTAAGCGAGCGGTCGCCGCGAAGCCGCGAACAACTAGGCGTTCACCATTTTCGAGAAAATTTGCCGTCAACTTCCATGTCGTCTTCAATAATTTGAAGTATATTTTGAACAAATGACCAAAACTGCCTCCAAAAAGCTTATAAAAATTTGTGTGGAAGCAGGGCGCGCCCATTGTCGCTTGTGAGTAACAAGCCTGTAGCGCTTCGGGACCCAACATTTCTAACCGCCCCGCGCGTTGGTGTTTAAGGAACAATCGGCAGTTGGATTTTAAAAGACCTGTACTCTCTCGCTATTAAAAACTGCCACCGTATGCACAGGCAAACGTCTGTCTGCCAGCCCGTTATACTCTTGGGATTCGACGATACCACTGTGTATGTGTCGAAAACCCTTTAGACCACCCAAATCTGTAGCCTACAACAATTTTGCAATGCCACATATCCTCAAGCCATTTGTAACTTAATATATGAGTGTGCACACTAAGCGCGGCAACCTACGGCACCCTTACTAGTAACTCCTCACCGGAACCTTTTCTGGCGTTACAAACAGTACGGATGTGTACTGCTAACATATACACATCTAGTCAAATTAAAAGAGACAAGGAAACAGGGTGAAATCACTGGAAACGACAGACTGTGATATTGCAAGTTCGTCAGAACACGCACATGGTGTGCAGTACACATATTAAGTTCCAAATGACTTGAGGATAGGTAAGGCCAAACTAACGAATTGCCTGCTTCAGCAGGATGCGGCGTAACTAGTAAGCTGATGTCATTTGGCGTCATGTTGGACGGTTGAAGTGGCATCTGCGATATTCGCAACACCAGTAGTTTAAGAGAGATGATACCCCTTCCTCCCCCCCCTTCACAATGGCCGGCCGCCTCGTTGTGGCGTGGGGGCGACACTGGGTGTCGAATAGCAATGCAAGCCGAGTATATACTATACTTTGGACCGAATCGAATAAATATTCTAGTATTCGAATAAAGATTCGAATAAATTTTATTCGAAAGATTATTCGAAAATTTCAAATTCTCGAATATATTCGATATCCGCTTATTCAAAATTTGTCAATTTCGAATTTATTCGATTATTCGGTTATTTGAAAAATTTGATTTTCGAAAATACTCGAACATTTGAATATTTATTTTCAGAAGTTATTCGATTATTCGACAATTTCGTATAATCGAATAACTATTAGATTGTCCGGAAATCAATGCAGGTTTCTGCAGATGCTGTCGCGGCTCGCGCGATGCAAGCCCCTCCTCGATTCAGGTGCCGGGAGCACTGCATGCCGCCGAATCGGGTGCGCTTTTTAAACTCGCGCCCGGACCTCTTCCGCTTGGGCGCGCTGCCAGGTCGAGGGGTATATAAGGCCGCGCAGTTGGCGGCATATGCCTCTCTGATTTCCGACCTCGTTTTCAAATTATTCTCTAATTTCTCACGTTCACCTTATTGATTGTGTTGGCAGCTAACCCGGCAAGCTCCCATGGATGAAGTCTTGCGAGCAGTGATTGTTATAGCTTTTGGATTGTACCGCGCTAACGCGCGAGGAAAGTTTAGAGCCTTTGTGGAAAAAGTTAGTACCGGGAGTGGATAGGGTCGCAACTTTCCTACGCGGAGGCGAGAGTAGGCGGTCGACCCAGGTGAATCCCCTGACATCATGTGTTGGAATTAGGTTGATGTTTATCGGCGGCTTGGGACGAGGCGGACTCGTCCCGTTTGTCATTTTCCTTTAGTTTAGGCGCTTTAGTAGTTTAGTCTATTTTGTAATGTAGTCTGTTGTCATTCAGATAAATGTTAGTAATCTAATCGCGCGTTTCGTGCTACGTATTACTGCCACTAGCGGGGCAGTCGTTGGACGCGCCGGAATGGCCAACCGGCGCTAGTTTGTAGGCAGTAGATGCAGGGTTGTGCAGGCAGTCGAGCGAGGCAAGGGGGTGCTGAGCCCACCGAGCCGCAACATGGTGCATCGACGCCGAGCGCATGGACGATGGAGGATTCCGCCCGCGAATGGAATGGACGAGAAGATTGAGGACGAACTGGACAACAGCTGGACGCCGTTATGGGAACGCGCCATCCCATCTTCCATGCGTGCGTAACGGACCTAAGTCTACCACGCTCAGCACAATAAGAAGATCGAACAATAAGGACACCAGAAGACACTCGGACGAACAGTGGCAGAATGCAGGAATGGTAGCCATGAGTATGTCATGAACGTGAGGTGGATATACAGCAGGATGGTGGCAGCTCTTGCCAACTTGAAGCCTCAGCATGCAGCGTTTACTTCAACAGTGGATTGGTGCCTGTTCGCGCTTGTGAAGAGTTTTTCAGGTAATATGCAGGTGTCATCCCCGGCGGGCTCGACCACGGGAACCCTAGTGGTTACGCGCGCGCAACTGTCGAGTCGTGGCCCGAAGCTGGACGAGCTGTATCGGAGCCGTATGGGGACGCAACAGCTTCGGTGAGCTGCTATGGGAGCGCTGTGACACCGTTCTTTCACCATCTAGAAGCCTGAACCACACCGGAGATTTGCGTATTGGGGGCGCTAGCATGGGAGCGTCTCCGGAGGGAGTACTAGAGGGTCCCTAAAATTTCGCGCTACTCCTACCTTCCTTAGTTCTTTTCGCGCTTTCACAGTCACATTTCGCTATTCCGCTTGTTTAATTTGGGCTCATAGTTTCCACCTTTGCTTCTTCCTCGTAAAAGGGGCATTTATTTGGGTCTTAGCTGCTTGGGACCTAATTGTAGAGGGCACCTAGCTACTAAGGCCGCGCCCCAGTAAAGGCCCCCCTTTTTTAGTCATTTAGGGTACCAGCTCATCTGGTGAGTCTTGTTGGCCAAGAGTCCACGGACCGGCCTGGCATCCGATATTGTGGGTCGGCACTACCAGACCCGTTCTGGGCCTGACCAACAAGTCTATGCCCACACCCTCTAGTACTGGCGAGGCGTCGTGCGTATGGGAAGATCATCATTACGGCACAACCCTCTGGAAAGGTGGTTCAGGAGCCCAAAATTTTCCTACTCGCCGATAGGAGCCCTGATAACTACCGAAGGGCCTCCGGGCAGGTCACCATTCCTTCACCTTGTTACTCGCGCAATCACCATCAGCGCTTTCAGTCTCTAGTGACACCCTGTCGTAATTGTTGCTTCGCGCTTGTAAGTAAGTTGCCCCAATGGCGGTTTACCCCTTTTAGTCTTAGGTTGGGCTAGGTTACTCACATCACATATTACTCATGTCATATTTATCGTTTGTTTGTTTTTTTACATACTAGACTGTTCTTCTTTCTTTTTTCTTTCAGGTAATGTCGCTTCTCGGAAGCTATAAAGCCCGAATCACCAAAGCCGCCAAAGCACTTCGTGAGAAGATCTCGGAAGTCGATGAGGCCACCCTTCAACCGCTGGATCCTACTATGGAGGCAAGTAAGGATCCAAACTTTATTTTGAGTCATAAAAGTTCACTTTTTTTGAGATTTACTCTCATTGAACGTGCTATTGCGCATCTACGCACACACAGAGAGAAAGCCGAAGAGTTTGCTCGTCAAAATCCTGACGAGCAGGGCGAGTTTCCCTTCCTTCAGCAGATTCAGGATCATTGGGACGCTGGTGAACTGGATCAACTCCTGGAGGAAGCTGACACTCTCCATGCACGTCTTGATATTGCGATCACGCTCTTGCCGAGCTCGGAAGTTTTGTATTCTATGCGTGTTCCGGTTGTTCCTCCTTCTACTTCATCTGTTAACCTTTCTCCTCATCCTACCCAAGACCCCATCCCGACCGATCAGCCCGCGCAGGACGTGAGAGAGGAAATCGCGAGCCACTCTTCGTCTAAGAATCAGGATCGCCCATCAGAACCTGATATCGCGCCAGCTGATACCCTACCACCGCGCGCGTCGAGCGCCACCCAAGGATTCGGTGTCTCCCCCCACAACCCCCCCAACTTTTGGCAATCCCTTTGTGACTCCTTCTTGCCCCCAGCCGAATCCGTTCGCAGCATCGTCTGCTCTCCCGAACCCTACTTCTACCCAATCGTCCGTGGAGCAATCGTTGAAACTGCCGAGCTTCGAGATTCCTACGTTTCACGGTGATATCGACAAGTTTTACGAGTTTTGGGACCTTTTTTCGACGGCCGTGCACAATAACACCTGTGTACCTGTGCCAGTCAAGTTCATGTATTTGAAGTCCCATTTACGAGGACCTCCTGCGAACATCATCGCCGGCTTTCAATCGACGGCTGAGAACTACGATGAAGCAGTACGTATCCTGAATAACACGTATGGTCGTCCGGAGATCCTACGCAACAAGCTGTGGGACAAGCTCTTGCAGTTACCATCAGCCTCGGATTCGCCGTTGTCACAACGCGCGACACTCTGTGCTATAAGAGCTACATGGACCCAGCTTCAACATCTCAAGGAAGACTCCAGCGCGATCGGCACGCTCAAGATCATTCGTGCCAAGTTTCCCCGGCGTACACGTGAGAGGATTGGCGAATTCAAGAACAAAGGAGATCCGATGTGGACGGTTGATGAATTGCTTGCTACGCTGGACACCATCATTGATAGATTAGAAAGTATAGAGGATGCAGACCCTTCGGATTACCACTCTTACAACCCCCAGTCGGCTGTTCGTCAACACTCTCTTTCTCCCCGAAGATACCCACGCGAGGACAGGACAGGTGAAGCGTTCACGCGCTATCACACCATCGCGTGCAAGGCGTTCACTGTCGCGCACACCGTCCCCTCGCAGAAGACAGGACAGACCTCCAACACCATATTACCCTAGGCGTGCGTGTATAGCCCCAGTAGATCGCGTTACGAAACTTCATCCGACCCGCAGTGTGTCTTTTGCCACAATTTTGGGCATCCGTCAGATCGTTGCAGAAACTTCGATGCTAGGCAACGTAGACTGTATGTCAGTCGCAATAAGCTTTGTTGGCTATGTCTACAACCCGGTCATACTTATATGTATTGCGACGCTCCTCTTTGTCCGTATTGCAATAGGATACACCATAGGTCCCTTTGCCTTAAAGTTTGCTCTTTGCCGCGATCGCCAACTCCGACGTCTAGGCATTTTTATCAGGGCTCGCATAGATCTCGATCGCCCAGACGCGTACAGTTCTATGAGGAATCCTACGGCTCGTCATCTCGCATGAGATCTCGTACTCCACGCGCATCATCGCGCGGTCTCCAGTCTAGATCTCCATCACCATCGAGGAGTAGGTTTTCCCCAACACCATCTAGGCGTACTTCGCCATCCTATAGGTCACGCAGTCCTACATCCGCGGTACACAGCACCAACTGTACCTTTGACGCATCTCGTACTACCATGGACACGCAAGCAGAGTCATCTGACGATCAGTCACGAGCTTCAGGCGCGCATTCGCCATCTTCCTGTACGTCTATTTGTCATGATCGATCCACACTTCAAGAGCCTCGTCTAATGTAGTCCGCACTGTAACTAAGAATTTTAAGACTCAAACGAGCGAGCTGCTTACAGTTTTCTTGGATAGCGGTTCGCAGTACAGCTTTATTTGCACTGCGTTGGCCAAACATCTGGGCCTAACATTCAGGAATACCAGGACAGTGACGACCCTGACGTTTGGAGGACATGAACTTACGGAAGAATCGTCAGAGGTCACTCTCACGCTATGGGATCAATATGAACATCCGATCCAGCTTGTGCTATGGACGCGCGAGAAGATTACGACGGTCCCCCGAACTAACGACCGCATCGACAATACCAACGTCGATCCTGCAGACAGAGTGGATGTCGACGTGCTCATTGGAATAGACAACTATTGGCGTGTTGTTGATTTGCACAGGAATGAGAGGCTTCCATCAGGACTCATCCTGTCACACACGAGATTTGGACCAGTTCTGTCCGGCATACAACACCCAGTTGTCTCCAATAGTCTCTCGACCGCTCACACATCATCGGACGAAGACGAGCCAGAGAACGAACGACTTGAGCGTAGTCTCTTTGGACTCGATACACTCGGAATGGATGAAGGCGAAGATGTGGACGATGCCGAAGTCATCAGGCAGTTTTACAATAAGGTCGCCATTGTAGACGGCAGCATTTATGTCTCGTTTCCGTGAAAGTCAGAGCATCCCCCTCTTAAGGATAACAAACCTCTAGCCTTTCGTCGATTGCAGAGTCAATATGAGAAGTTTCGCGCGACACCAGAAGACTACTGCAGGACGATTGAAGATCAATTGCGAATTGGCATAATTGAGGATGTCACGGATGTTGCCGCGCAAGGCTCGAATACGTATTACATTCCGCATCAAGCCGTATATAAACAAGACAGTTCTACTACCAAACTAAGGATCGTCTTTGACGCGTCGAGTCATCAGAAAGGCTGTCCAAGCCTCAACGACTGCTTATACCAAGGACCTTCCTTATTACTAGACTTAGTAGGAACTCTGATGCGAAGCAGATTCCATTGCTTCCTTATCATCGCCGACGTGGAAAAAGCGTTCCACCAGATTCATTTACATCAGGATCAAAGGGATTCCACAAGATTCCTCTGGCTGATAGATGTCCAACAACCACCATCGACGGACAATCTTCGCATACTACGCTTCACACGCGTGCCGTTTGGTATTAATGCATCACCTTTCCTACTCAGCATGTCCATCAGATACTTTTTGGAACAGGATCCGGCAAATCGTCTCAAGGAAGAGATCCTTGCTAACACTTACGTAGACAATCTCATTGTCGGAGCGGATTCCAACCACGAATGCTTGGAAAAGTGTAAGCAATGCAAGGAAATCTTCGCGAGAATGTCCATGAACCTTCGTGAATTCATGTCGAATAGTGAGAGTACGATGCGCTCGATTCCTGAACACAATCGCATGACAATAGACGGACCATTCGCTAAATTCCTAGGGATCAAATGGAATCCTAAGCTCGACGTACTTCACGTGCCTATTAACATCGCGCGTCAACCAGTGACGAGCAAGAGGACTGCATTGAGAGTTTATGCGTCTACGTTTGACCCTTTAGGACTACTAACACCGCTGTTGATAAGACCTAAGATGTTCATACAAGACTTGTGGGAGTCTGGTTATGACTGGGATGACCCTCTTACTGAGGCAGATATTGAGAAATGGAATACCATCGTTCAGGAGATAAGCGATTCACTCACAGGTTCCGCGCTATCTTGGAGTTACTTGTGACAATGCTTACGATTTGGTCCTTTGTTCGTACGCGTCTAAGCGAGTCTATGCTACCGCTGCTTACATCTTGACGCGTCACTCGAACGATAGTCCAAGACCAACACTGCTCTTCGCGAAAGCGAAGTTAGCTCCTCCCCGCGCGATCACCATCCCGCGCATGGAACTTTTAGCTTGTCACATGGCAGCTAAGACCGCGAAGTTCCTTAGAAGCCAGTGTAAAGTCAGCTTTCAGTCAGTCAGATTTCTTACCGACTCCCAGATAGTTTTGTACTGGATTCAGTCGCGCAAGCCGCAAGACTTACGTTGCAAACCGCGTTAGATACATCCGTCGCGTGCTCGACGAGTTGAGAGCGGACAACATCGACACCGGATTTTACTACCTGAACACGGACAACAACCCGGCGGACTGTGCCACCCGTGGACTAACAGCCACAGAGCTCCAAGACCACTTATGGTGGACAGGCCCAAGCTTCTTCACGACCCCCTCTTCGCAGTGGCCCTGGAAGAGTCTCGAACCATCAGTCAGTTCGCTACCAGGTGCAGAAGCAGAAGAGCTTAAGGCGGTCACAACTTCGACAAATATCGTCTCCGAACCTTATGTATCCTTCGTGCCTTTTACGCGCACCAACTCGTACACTAAGCTGGTCCGCGTTACAGCATACGTCCTTAAGTTTTTGGCTAGAGTGCGTCATCGAGTCGAGACGCGCTGCCATCGCGAACTTCAGGACGTGCAATCAATTTTAGGCACGATGGACATAACACCCGTAGTAACACCAGACGACTTTACGACGGCTGAATCGTTGCTCATACGTGAGCACTACAGAGAAGGCCAGCAAGAGTTGAACAGTTCATATATGAAGAAGTTTCGCACGACGTGCGACAACGACGGCATTATCAGGGTGGATAGGCGCATGTCTAACGCGCAGACCGACAATTCTACTAACCCTATCCTCATATTGTCGGATCATCCTCTCTGTTATATTATGTCGTGTAATAAGTTCTGGCCCCTTTTTTTGTTTCAGTTTTTTCTCGACAACATTGACTATGTTTGAAATAAAGTGCATATGCTTTTGAATGCTCTAAGTCTGCTCTGTAGGCTCATATGCATCATTTTCCAACATAGCAAGAAAATGAAAAAGATTTTTATTATTGAAACAAAAAATCCGAAGAGCCAAAAAATCAATTTTCGACACCTTCCCCCCCCCCAAATTTTTCTCGCTTTTCATTGGTAAAACTAATTAAACAAGCCTAACAACAAACAAAACAATCTGTTAGACTCTTACGCTTATTCTCTCACTGTTTGCGCTTGCTCCGTTCCTTCCACCGAATTTTAACGACTTTTTTTAAAAGTCTTCAAAGCAAGACTTTGTCACGGCAATGTTCGCCGTTTCGAGAATCCAAGATGTGTGGCTCCCAAAATTCGGATTTTGAGTACTTAGCCTATAAATTCAATAATTTTAAAGCCATAAACCATTCTTTCTGTTTTTTCTGGATGATCCCCCTATCGTCCTCCCTCAGGATGCCTTCAGATGATGCCCAACGTCAACGTTGAAAACGCGTTAAAAAGAAGATTTTTCTGAAGTTCATAGAAATGATTTTCGAAAAGTTTTAGCACTTCTGAAGCGCAGTAGAAGCTGTAGCATTCTTTGCTCACGTGTAGCAAATTATCTGAGCTTACTCGTAGGCATTCTGACTAATCTGGAGGGCGACGTAACGTAGTTGTCGAAAATGGATTTTTTTTGCTGTTTGGTTTTCTAGATTCGGCGATGTATAAACTTTTTCAAGCCTCTCGATGTAGAAAATTGAAACGAAAATGTTAGCAGAGAAGGCCTCGAGCTTTCAAATGCATATAAACAATTTGCAAAATATTGCGCAAAATATTCAGAAAAAATCGAAAGAAAAAATGGGACAGAACTTATTACACAACCTAATATTTTGATCATGTACCATCATTGCCAGCTATTTCACGCTGGACCGTCCCATTTGATAACCACCTTGCGCCAAAGCTTCTTCATACCTAAGCTAAATCGTTTGGTTAAGTCCATTATTTCCAGGTGTGTGATTTGCAGAAGGTATCAAGCTCGTCCATATAAGTATCCGTACGCGCCGGACCTTCCATCACAGAGGGTAACTAGGAGTCGCCCATTCCAGCATATCGCCCTTGACTACTTTGGACCCATTCTTGTTCGCTTACAGTCATCTGAGCGTCAAAAAGTGTGGATTTGTCTTCTTACGTGCATGTCAACGCGCGCAATCCATCTAGAAGTGGTAAGAGACAATTCTACATTACAATTCATACTAGCTTTCAGGAGATTTATGGCACGTCGAGGAAAACCGGATACGGTAACGTGCGACAACGCGCCTACCTTCAAGCTAGGACAGGAGATTATCAAGAATGAGCTGCCAGCCGTGAAGGACGACAGCCAGATGAACCAACTTTGTGCCAATTACAACATCAAATGGACATTCATCACTCCGTACTCGCCATGGAAAGGAGGATTTTATGAACGATTAGTCGGATCGGTTAAGAGCGCGCTGAAGAAGACGGTGCGGAATCAAACGCTGGACATTTGGCTACTGGAGACCCTGATCGTCGAGATCGAGGCAATTCTTAATACCAGACCTCTCTTTCCGGTGAACTCATCCGATCCGGATACGAACGTGGCCATAAGACCTATTGACTTGATCACCACGGTTTTCCAAGTGGCACGGTTGACCGGCAATATGCCCCAGAAGATTTTTAACGCGACGAGTGAGAGTTATCGAGCACTCCGTATGCGCTATAAGTCTCTGCAGGAAGATCTAGACCACTTTTGGCAGCTTTGGCAGAGTGACTATCTTGATGCCTTAGCGCAGAGACAGATCATACGCTCGAACGGTCAGTCTAGCAGGAAACCACCCCGAGTAGGAGAAGTAGTGCTAGTCAGACAGGACGCGCTCGATCAACTTGGCCACTAGCACTCATCCTGGAACTTCACACATCATCCGATGGCAACGTAAGATCAGCCAAGATCCGGACAGCCAAAAAGAAGATACTAGAACGTTCAATCAACCATCTGGTACCTCTGGAGATAGTGGTAGATGACGATACCATCCCTGAGAGAGATCACGAGCACTTTGCAGTAAAGGATACCCCCTCTGCAACATCTAAGGAGTGAGCACAGCCGTAAAGCAGGTACACATATTAATTTCCTTTGATTTCCTTTCTTTCGACTCTTTTTTTCTCTTTCTTTCTTAATTATTGTATACTCTTTCCTCTATAGATGAGCGCTACAGGCGCGCTTTGATGAGCGATGAGATTATTTCCCCTTGTCTAAGTCCATCTTTAGACTGCGCTGGGTCCCGGCACGAATCGTCGTCAGGCAACGCGATTGTCGACCTAGTCGCAAGATGCAATTCGCTCAATACGAAACCTTATTGATCGCATAGTGCCCATCATAGGCTCCCTTGTATAAGTTTATAGTTTCTCTTGTATTTTTTGTAGATTCAGCATTTTGACTTCGTATGTGCACCCGTTTTACATGCCTTGTATGTTCCCCTTTACTGTGAACTTGTTTAGTGTCAACTCGTGCTCACTTGTCAGTACCACTGTCAATAAAGTTAACCAGCTGTCATCTATCGGACTATCGAGACCCCGAGCAAGGACCTTCTACGAGGGAACAATACAAGTAAGAAGCTTAGCAAAAACCCCTTCATTTTTTCAATTCTCCTTTCATCTTGGGGCTTCCACTTGTTGTGCGCACATTTTGCGCCCCTTCAAAATATAAGGCGCACAGTCTTTTTTACCAAAACATTCTATCAATTTTTACACCAAAACTTCTATCAATTTTTTTGTTTCTCAAACTCTTCTTTCTTGCATTGAGCCCTCACCTTTCGTTATTCCTACGCATGTTTTAAATCATTAGAGCATTTTTCCAGCTGCGCCGTACGTACTTGTACCGTGTCGCCATCATGAAGCATTCGTCATCTTCGTTGCTGTCGCGCACGGCAAGCTCTAGCGCACAACTGCGTAGTCCCTCGCCACTTGCGTCTACCTCTAGCGCAGACACTGCAGCATCCTCTAGCGAATCAGTTGCGCAGTTGATCATCTTCGAAGCGCGACGTCTACTAGCGCATTGCGAAGACAGTTTGGAGCTGAGAAAGATCCTGGACGACATTTGCAAGAAGCAGCGCGATTTGCAATCCCGCGTATCCAGCGATCCTAACTTAAGACCCTTGCAGCCCAACCCAGCGCCGGACGCGCATGCGCACGCCATCCCTGCTTTGCAAGATGTCGTTGAAGTATTGCCACACACGGTAGAGGAACTTATCGCTGCGCAGCTACGTAGAGTTTTCGCGTTTATCACTACGTCTGGTTGCACGCAGCTAGAGCCGCAAGCCGCAGATACTACGCTCCTAACACCTGAGCAACAGCGCCACATCGCGCGTATCGTTTTCCATATGCGTAAGCTTGCAGCTGTGTTGGATTGCGCTAATAAAATCTTCCTCAATACACAGACCTTGCTGCTGCGCACGGACAAAGCTAGTATATCATACGCGAGGTACATGGCGTACATTCATGTAATTCAGCACATTATCACAGGCATCACGGTAGACCGCGACATCATTAGTGAGGCTTTACTATCGCACTTTTTCACGCGCTTGCAATCGTTTCTTGACGCGCTAGTTGGTTACCAGATTAGCGAAAGCGTAATCATGGAAAAGCTTATGGCCGCGTCAGCCGCAGTTGCGCATGCTACCCGTCTTACGCGCACGCTTGAGTATCATCAGATGGACTTCGTCATGACGCATCTACGGCAGAAAGTCACCAAGATCGACTAGCAGTATACGCAGCTCGCATTCCCACCGTTTCAAATCTCCTTCGTACCGACCACCTACATCCAGGCACTTAGATGGTGGCAGGAAAACTACGAGGAAGCACTCCATGGTCCGCTTACCGAAGATTATCTGGAAATTGCGCACAGTGAAGATCCATTCGCGCAACGACAAAAGGAACGATTTGTACGAGTAGAGTTTGATAGTGATCAGCCTCAAGTGGCTACAATACCAGCCGCGTCTAACATCAGCGCGTTTTCGCCAGGAATTCAGCCAATGCAGACAGAAGAGACCATCCAAGGCACCCAAGCACCTCAGTCTCCAACACCTTCGCCATCTGAGAGTCACTCGAGTCCAGTAATTATACCATTGACGTGTATGTCAACGCCAGTCACAGAGCTTGAGAGGAACCAGTCCATTCCACCAGTCCTTTCGCCTCAGGTTACGCGCGGGAGGGCGGACTAGAGTCCTCTCAGCAACTCGGGGCGGCCGGACCTAGTTCGGCATCTACTGCACGGCGTGGACTTTTACCGCCATGTGTTTTCTGCGAAGGTTATGGACACTTCAGCGCCGAATGCAGTGTGGTAACATCCATGTCTAAGAGGATTGAAGTTGCGCTGGAGAAAGGATTTTGTTCGGTATGTCTCAAGAAGCATCATGGAAAATGCAAGAAGCGATACTATTGTTGGAACTGCGGAGGAGAGCGTCACCATCGCGCCTTTTGTATGAAGAACACCCAAATTGTGCGTGATATGGATTGGTCCGCAACATATGAAGATTTTTATGCCTGGCTGAACGCAAATACCCATCCCCCAATGCCATCTGGGAGTTTTGCTTTGCCGCGCGCTGAAACATCGCAGCCTCCCCGCCGCGCGCGCGAATAGTGTAGAGGGCGAGCCCGTGTGTGACGGTAGTGAGTGGAACGATGGAAAACGGTTAGTGTGTTTCTACCTTTATGACCTCTTTAACCTTATAAACCTTTTCTGCTTTAGTGACATCTGGTAGAATATGAAGAGTGTGGTCATGGGTAGTCTCGCACATGGTTGTTGGAGATGGTGCTGTGGTTGTATGGTCGCACATGGCTCGTCGTTCACACATGCACATAGTCTTCATAGTTATCCACTTCGCATTTAACCACCTCACATTTAAGCACGTCTAAATGCACACTTAGCTTCACATAACCATTTTAGTTCATAGTTAGTTTCATTTAATCACTTCAGTTGAGCAGTTATTCTCCTTCGTAGTGTTAGTTTTCACATTTAAGCCACCTCATATTTAGCCACCTCAGTAATCCAGTTACTCTCCTTTGTAAAATGTAGTTATCATATTTAATCACGTCATTTAACCGCATTTAGCCGCATTTAATCGCACTTAACCGTATTTAACCAATCAGTTAATCTCAGTCACTCCATGTATTTGTTGTGTGCTTTATTGCGTATGTATGTTACCCTACGGGACGGGTTTTCTTCCAGGTCATCTCCTACGCACTCTACCATGCCGCCGATAGAATTGTTCTTTTACCTGTCTACCTTCTAAAACCTAACGTAGTATGCATCCCCTGTGGTCGTCAGTGCTATCACGTAACCACCATTCGAACGTCCAAGCCACTGTCTCGGGGGGGGGGGGGGGAGTGTCGCGGCTCGCGCGATGCAAGCCTCTCCTCGATTCAGGTGCAGGGAGCACTGCATGCCGCCGAATCGGGCGCGCTTTTTAAACTCGCGCCCGGACCTCTCCCGCTTGGGCGCGCTGCCAGGTCGAGGGGTATATAAGGCCGCGCAGTTGGCGGCATATGCCTCTCTGATTTCCGACCTCGTTTTCAAATTATTCTCTAATTTCTCACGTTCACCTTATTGATTGTGTTGGCAGCTAACCCGGCAAGCTCCCGTGGATGAAGTCTTGCGAGCAGTGATTGTTATAGCTTTTGGACTGTACCGCGCTAACGCGCGAGGAAAGTTTAGAGCCTTTGTGGAAAAGTTAGTACCGGGAGTGGAGAGGGTCGCAACCCTACGCGGAGGCGAGAGTAGGCGGTCGACCCAGGTGAATCCCCTGACATCATGTGTTGGAATTAGGTTGATGTTTATCGGCGGCTTGGGACGAGGCGGACTCGTCCCGTTTGTCATTTTCCTTTAGTTTAGGCGTTTTAGTAGTTTAGTCTATTTTGTAATGTAGTCTGTTGTCATTCAGATAAATGTTAGTAATCTAATCGCGCGTTTCGTGCTACGTATTACTGCCACTAGAGGGGCAGTCGTTGGACGCGCCGGAATGGCCAACCGGCGCTAGTGTGTAGGCAGTAGGTGCAGGGTTGTGCAGGCAGAGCGAGGCAAGGGGGTGCTGAGCCCACCGAGCCGCAACAGATGCAAATTCAAAAGGATCGTTCTTCTGTGTATGTGCATCTTTCGACCAATTTCGCACACTAAAAGAACCCGTTCCTCCTGCTCTCTCTTATATAAACTACTTTTACGACCAGCTTCGCTTGTTCAAAAACTACAACCATCCGAAGATGAAGCGTCAAATTACTAAATTTACCCTTTGCACTATTTTGGCTTGAACTTATTCGGCAAGAGGGGTATTCCCATGATAATAGCTGAAGCAAGGTATTGAGTGAACCTACAAAATAGATAGTAACGCTTCTTTTGAACTATTGTGAGAGTAGAGAAACTGAGGCTTTAACATGAATAATTGTCGCGGCCACTCCATGGCGTAGAAAACTTTTCTAAAGAAAGCAACCGTGAAAGTCTCTCCTCGTGCTTGAAGAGTGAGGCCAATGCCGTTAGATATTATCTCAACTGGTACCTCCCAGGCTTTATTTTTGATGAGTTAATAAAAAAGTCAAATTATCGGAGATCGCAGCCGTGGAGGAAATATCGAAAAAATGGAAAATTTTGTTTCCGCAAATTTTTCTTTCGCAGAAGATTCCTAACAAAAATTTCTGCATAGCTATATATGTAGTACTGGCCCGTGGCTATACGCTACAGAAGTTTCTGGCTGAACATTCATATTCGCTAGGACTTTACAACCTGCCAAGTATGACCTTGTCAAAAAAATTCTTTTTACTTCCTGGCTTTCGGTAATTTGCTTGTTGGAGCTACAGTTACAAAAAAAATGGTGCAAATAGAAAAAGACGATGCAAAATATTCGTTTATTCAGAATTTTTCTTAAATATGTTGACTACTCGGATTTTTTTCAATTTGAATATATTCGATATTCGGTTATTCGACAATTTTATTATTTCGAAAATATTCAATATTCGATTATTCGACATTTTTGTTTTTCGAAAATATTCGATATTCGAGTATTCGACATTTTTGTTTTTGAAAATATTCGAAATTCGATTATTCGATATTTTTAACTTTCGAATATATTCGGTTACCCGATTATTTGAAAAAAATTCTCGAATATTCCAAAGTATAGTGTATACTCTGGCAGGGCCTCTCACGCTGTGAAGGAGTCCAACGTTTCCGGTTTCGGGCCGGATGCCTAGCTAAGGGTCGGCCAGGCGCCAGGCCAGATCCACCGCCGTCTGGTTTTCTGGTCGCTAGGCAGTCCTTTCCGCTCCAAGCCTGGGGTCAGCGATTGCCCCGTGGAAATCGAGAGTACTCAGATAGCGGCCCGGTCGCCCAACTGGGCTTCGCCGTTGAGCCGCGGCACCTATTTCTCAACCACACATGCATCAGGCCCAGCGGTTCACAGGCGGATCTGGCAATCCGCCCGCACGTCTATATGGGCTCCCTAATTTCACTGGCTTTCCGCGCACCCATACACACACTGCTGAAGTTAACAGCGACCCGTTCATCCACATAAATTAACGCACGTTGTAAGCACAAGGGTTACTTGCGTGAGATACGATGCAGTGAAAGGGATGCCATCGGAGCTTGCAGGAGGGGTAACACTTGCCTTTGGGCCGACAACAGGTTTCCCGATGGGTTGACCGTTGATGGGATTTTGATCAATCTCGTGTAGTTCGATCAGTAGTGTAAATGCAGGAACGAGTTACCAATTTTGATTTCACATGAGTTATCCCGCGCATGCAGGTGCAGCCGAGCAGAAACCCACCCTTAGGGTTGCCCTTCTATGCTAACGCGGGCCAACAAGGCAAAGGAGACATTGAAATACAGGCCTGCTCGCTCGTCCGGGTGATAGGGTAGCTGCACACACTGGAACCGTTGCTGGTCCGCGCTAACATGGTAGGGCCTCAGAGGCCCTGCCATGTTAGCGCGGTCTGAGTAGGCTTAGTAAGTCTGCTCTTGTAGGGCAAAAATCTTATTACTCCGCCCTAGAAGAATACAAAGAAACCCTGCACATCGGATCCCGCCTACGGCGCCGCTTGGTAGCAAGAACGATGTCAGGGTCCTCAGAACGCCTTTTGTATTAGAGAAAAACGACACGCCATGGAGACTGCCTCGTGCTCTGCACCTAAAGGCCGGGACAGCTCCCACAAACGCCAACCTCCACGCTCTTCTCGACGCTGCAAAGCACATCAAGTACCACGTCACCGCTCCTAGGAAACGAAGTCCAGGAAGATGGAAGTGCGACAGATGAGTGATGGGACACTCATCATTCGTGGTGACAAGGTTCCATCACGAAACGTTGGAGGTGTTGGTTTTGTCGTCCACCAATCTATTGTCCATCTTATCGATTCGCATGAGATCCTGTCACCTCGAATAGCCATCCTACGACTACGACCTCCACATCAGAAGACCATCAGCATCATCAAGCTACTCACCAACATCAGCAGCTGACGATCCACAGCTAGATGCTTTCTAGGAAGACGTGGAGGAGGTCGTCCGCAACGAAAAGTCCTTCTACGAGTATGTTGTGGGCGACTTCAATGCGAAAATCGGGATGCCACTAGAAAAGCAATATAGGATCGGGAAGTTTGGATATGGGCTCCGGAACGAAAACGGCAACTGTCTTGTTGGGGTTCTCTCCGCCGCACGACTTTTCCATGGAAATTCCATCTTCATGAAGAAAGAACATCGCCGGTGGACATGGGAATCGCCCAACGGAACGACTCACGCGGAAATCGACCACATTCTCGCCAACCGAAGGTGGAGCTTGCTCGATGTCTCAGTAGTTCCATCCTTCTGCAGTGGCTCCGATCACCGCCTCCTTCGAGCGAAGATACGATTTAGTCGAAAGCTAGAGAAGAAAGTCTGTCACAATGCCGCAAGAGGGAAGGAAGTCGTTTATGACAGTAACAGGTTGGAAGAGCTCATATCAAGTTGTAACTGGCTAATCGAGAAGGACCCAACGTACGACTACTACCGGCTTCTAAAAGGACTGCGAGAGCTGCGCCTCAGTGACCTCCAAGAACTTGGAACGCATCTCGAAGACCACCAAGGAGTTGCTTGAAATGAGAAGATTTCCGAGGCAGGATCCGAATGCAACCAATCTCGAGCGACTGATAACCAACGCCATTGCAGAACAGTTTTGCAGGAGGATCTCAGGAAGTATAGGCAAGCCAA